GTCTCATGTGGTGGAGTGCAGTGAGTTCATGTAAATCGAGTCCCTTTATCAGCCAATCAGAGCGCAGGTCACATGCAAAATAAAAAGCCGACGACGAGTCCTGAAATCTGATTGGACGGTTCAACATCCTGACGTAGCCGCAACCCGACGAGGCCCCACCCTAACTGCAATACAGCACTAAATAATAGGGAAGCAGTCAAAACACAGAAGAACCCCCAAAGAACTGCTTCTAATAATAAAGCTATACAATGTAAGCTGTCAAATATGATACGCCTATATAACCAATGGAAAGGGAGAGAAAAAAAACAGATGCCTGTCACTTAAAGCCGATCTCAAATCAGAACACGTGTGAGAATTAAACACATGCCATACACATGCTCCAGAAACAAAATCAAAACACTTACCAAATCTTCATAAGATTGCGGGTGTTCATTTCCTTCCCAATCCAACCGACGTGGAAGGAGCTATCAAAAAATAAATAAATAAGCCGGGTTAATACGGTCGAAAGGAAATCGACGTAAGCCAAGTTATCTTAATAAAAACAATAGCGGAAAAGGCAAACAAGTTCAAGGCAAGCGATAATGAAAAGTAGCACACTGCCAAATCCATGGTTCAATCCAAGAGGGAAGCATACACACCACGGACGGACATAAAGAATGAAGTAACCGAGCAACACACCTGATTTTCCTCCAGCTCACACACGAGAGCCTGCAACAGATGAGAATGAGCTCTGTTCAGTGCTCTCATCCAGATGAGCATCGTTTTAAACACAACACTCGTATTAAAGTCTCGAGGACTGAAGTCAACTCACCTCAGCCGCTTTCCGACACGGCCCCGTGCTCAAATAGCGCGATATCAAGTAACATAACTCTGCGAAAGGACACCGCGAGACCGTTTAGTATTTGCTTTAAGATGAAGAAACTAGAAAAGTACCTCTTGATAATATTCCTAAATGTTATTTTTTGAGCCTTACCCGATTCAAGGGGTGAAATACTCCCATTTCTGGCTGTAGTATCGGCCATAGCTCAAAGAATACGGTGTTTGGAGACGAACTTTCTGTGTAGTTGGTAAATTATTTAATGTCGATTGTACGCTTCGTACCCCTCCACGATTGCTCCCGCTTTCTGTTCGGCCAGTTTTCGGTCGCCATTGAAAGTATGAGGCCTGAGCTCATAGCTACTTCCGCCAGAACGCCGGAAACGGGGGGAGGGGGATGGTAGAAATCCTCGTCTCCTTCAGCAAAACAGAAGCCACGCGGAGATGTAAAAGTCTGAAAATTCAGTGTCCAAGTCGTCGATGTAAATCGAAACGTTTCTTGCTGTTTCGTCCCAAGCGAAACAATCTTCAAATAACAATGAAAACCCGCGCTCCTGTTCGAACGGCTGGTTCATGACGTCACATCGCATGGCGACAGCAGAACCGTTCTTCTTTTGTCTATAAAACAGTCTGAGAACGTGACGGTTTGAATATTTAAATATACGCACACAACTAATATTAGCCACCAGCGCTACTTATTATCACATGCATGTGGGATTACGTTATGTATATTATGCATAAATTGCTAAATTTACACAAATATGTCCACTGACAGAGAAAGCGCACATGCTGTGGGAACAAAATCTGTAAATTTACTTGTAAATGAAGTTTTTATCTCCTTTTCTCCCCTTTAAATACTAAAGCAGTTACATTGGCCCCAAAAAGTATCCAGACACTTATGTATAACTTTGCATTTAAATAATAATAATAAGTGCTTTTAAAGAGTTAGCACCAGCAAGCATACATTTCTTGCAAAAACATGTTACAAAATAAGGTTGGTAGGTTCCAAATTATAAAACATGTACAGATCATACTATTTATAACTATATTATCACACAGCTTTTTATATAAACTTGGGTATCAAAGTATGTACAACTGTATCTGCATACAGTATATTTATGTAAAACAAAATACGTTATATAGAAAATCTCAACTGCAATAAAATGCTTCCAAAAATGTAGACCCTAAAACCACATTAAAATGCATGAATGTTTAATCCAAAGAAATAAAAAACATTAGAGAAACTTTGATACAGTTCACAAACAATACAAATTGATTCCACATCGTTTTGATGTGTTTAAAATATAAATTGTCATAAAAAATAAGTTTTACTATAACTTTTTATCACTTCCCACACATCCTTGCTCAATGAAAGTATTAATTTCTTTAAAAATAATTATTATTTACACCAGTCCTTCGAACAGTGTATATACAACATTGATAAATCAGCATATTAGAATTTCTGAAGGATCATGTGACACTGAAGTCTGGAGAAATAACTGCTGAAAATTCAGCTGTGCATCAGATACATTACATTATATTTTAAAGTACATTAATATAGAAAACCATTATTTTATTTCACAATATTACCGCTTTCTGAATTTTTGATCAAATAAATGCAGCCTTGCTTCTTTAAAAAACATCAAATCTTACTGTTCCCAAAATTTTTTGAACAGCAGTATATAAATAAATTAAAATAAATACATTTAGCAGACGCTTTTATCCAAAGCGACTTACAGTGCATTCAGGCTATACATTTTTTATCAGTATGTTATATATTATAGATTATCATATATTATATGTATACTTTCTAACCAATGTTACACCAAGACTGAATATGAATATGGGAAGATAATAAAATATCAGTATTGAAATTGTCAAGCACATTGATTTTATTTAATGTATTTCACATATTGACATGTCAATGAAGCATTAATTTTCCAGCTATCGCTTCAATTATGGAATTTTATCGGTTTTATATCTCATCTAGTGCTCTTTTTAATCAGAAAGGACAACAGAAGGGCAAAATATCAAGTGAAATTACAACCAATTTATTTGTATGCCATACCAATCATTACAGATAC